ATAATAATAGTAATAATTTATATATTTAATATTGTAAATGTTAGAATATAATAAAAATGGACTTAAAATTAAACATGTCTATTTATTCTGCAATTACTAATTATTAAGAAATAGAAATGTGTATGGTATTGTGCAAGATATATATAGCTATGTATAGCTATATATATATCCCATTAGTTCGCTATTTCCGACAATACATGGGTAGGTGGCGCTGAAACTAGTCCGTTCTTTTTAGCAAGAGTGAGGTACGACCCTCTGATGCCTACGCACTTCCCTCCCCTGGGGAAGGAGAGGGGGAGTGTGGGACTCGTACCCACTAAAACCCCAAGATGGCCTTCTACCTGGGACTTGGCAGGAGAGGCTCCCTGGCATCTCGAAGGCTATTGCTTCGCGGTGAGCCCCTCCGTCGTCCCCCAAACTGGGACAGCTCCTCTCGCGTACCCATAAGAGAGAGTCACCTTATTGTGGTTGAAAGGAGGGCCGTAACCCCCTTCAATTACCCCACTCCAGGGACTTTAATGTTGTGCAATGGCCGGTGAGTCCCCCAACTCCCAGCCAAGTCCCCGCTCCAGACCCGGAGAGTTATACCATAAAATGGCGATCCCCACCCGGGCCAAGCAGTCCTCGAAGGGACTGGGCCCTGGGGATGCAAGTCCGGACTTGCACCCTCCTACTCCGGAATGATGGACCCAAGTCCAACCCACTAATTGGGCTTAGAGGACTTGAGCCCGGGCTTGCGTGTGGGGATGATTGGAAGGGTTATGCCGGCGGGAACTTCGGTTTCTGGCAGGGCCTCCCTTGCCGGACAGACCTTCCGTGACTCACCAGACTAAGAAGAGTGTCCACGGGCAGGCGGGCTCGTTACCCCGGTGGGGGAGCCGCTTAGGAGAAGACTACTCCGAAATTAAACCACCCCAACAACCCTTTATGGAATGACAGAGCAGATGGAGATAACCTTACCGGACCAGGGTGAACGGACACCCAGGTCCCGGCAGTTCGGGGGTTCCGACCCTGCCCCCGTTCGGTCGTCATTCAACGAAGGGTTGGCTGTCTCGTGTGCGACAGGCGAGGCAGTCTCTAGTGCTACTGTCAGCCGTTCTACAGGGGCGATCGTTCTGTCATCGGACGACGACCTTCCCACTTTGGGCTGGAGGACACGTAGGGCCACTGCCATCAGGTCCTACGTAATATCGGATGAGGAGAGTGATATCTCCGATCTTCCGGCGGTCAGTGAGAATACCCGGCGGTTTGCCGCGTATCTTAAGGGCTCCAACGCCACCAGCGGAGCTCCAGCCCCTTCTACGAGCGCGAAGGGAAAGAAGGGGAAGGCGAAGAAGGAGACACGGGCTGCCAAGAAGGCAGCCAAACGACCACGTGTCGTCGAGGAGTCGGAGGACTCGACGACAAGCGGAGCATTGTGGGAGTCTCGTAACCTCTCCTCGCGAGAGACTTACGATGAGATCCCCCCACACATGCTGCACGCTCAAATTGAGCAGGAATTTGGCGTCATTTACGACGCACAAGCGAAGAGCTCAAGACTTAAGGGGACCGTCAAAAAGGAGATCAAGGACGCCGCCCAGGCTATAAAGGTCCGTACTCGGGCCTTGACGAAGAGCGTGCAGGAGTGGGGGGATGACACCGGACTACGGCTGCGCGCTACTACTGCGGAGATGGAGAAAGAGGCCCTCGCTCAAGAGGTGCACTTTCTCCGCGCTGAGGTTGTGGAACTAAGGAACGGCCAGTCCGTCGGGTCTTTCGCTGAGGAGTTAAAAGCTCTCAAGGCCGAAATCCGCACCTTCAAACAAGAGAATGCGAACCTCAACGTTGAGGTTATCCGCCTCCGCATGGCTGGCGTGGCCAGGCCTCAGGAAGGCGAGCGAACGGATGCGGGAACTCAAACCGCACCTTCTCGGCCGACAATTTTGTCGACCGAGGTGATACCAGCTGGTACCCGCTCCCCGCCGGTGGTGCTCCCTTCAAGGAGCCGGGGGCAGAAGACCGCCCCACCACCACCACCACCGAAGGAAGCGGAAAAACCCCCTGCGGCACCGAGGGCGGCGGAGGTTTCCCTCCCTGTGGGTGGTGCTTCGAAGAATGCCCTGGCACAACAGATGACGCAACTTGCTAGCTGCGTCACCGCCATCCAGGAGCAACTCTCCCGGCTAGCGGGGGATTTAACCCCTGCTCTTGCAAAGCCTCCTACGAGGCCTGAGGCTGTAACCACCAGCAGCCCCAACGACGGCAGGTCCCGCTCCGCGGTTCGGCGGGCGGCGCCTAAGCCGAAGGCTGGCTCCTCCACCTGGGTAGAGATGGTGCGCAAGGGCAAGAAGCCCTCTGCCGCCTCTCGGGCGGTGAAGTCCCAAAGCGTGTCGTCTGGGGTTCCCTCTGCGCGCGAGTAGGCCCTCGAGCGGAAGGTCATAGCCCTGCGAGCAGCGGCGCGGGCAACAGCCCCGGAAGAAAAGACCCCCAAAGGCGGCAGCTGTGGCCATCCGCTGTCCGCCTGATCAAGAACCCCGGGCGTCTTATGCGGATGTCATTCGGCTGGCCAAGGCCAGTGTCGCCCTGAAGACCCTGGGCATTACAGACGTCCGCATTTGCAAGTACGTAGGAGGGGGACTCCTGGTAGAGATCCCTGGACCGGGTGGGGCGGACAAGGCCACGGTCTGCTGCTCGTGTAGGAGGGATGAGGTCTGCTTCACTGGCCTTGACGCCTCGGTGGAGCCGGCTGATGTTGTGGCCGTTATCACGTCGGGCAACTACGGCATCTGCCGCGAGGCCGACGTAAGTGTAGACCCTGTCACCGAGGGCCGCGACAGGTTGAGGGCTGTCTGGGCCCGCTGCCTTTGGGGGTAGCAGAGCGGCTGGCGGAGGTGGGTAAGGTCCGGATTGGGTGGTCCACTGCCCGGGTCACCATCCTCCCATCCCGCCAGCTGCAATGTTACAAGTGCCTGGAATACGGGCACATACGTCAGGCCTGCCGCAATGACGTCGACCGCAGCCGGTGCTGCTATTGTTGCGGCAAGGAGGGACACACAGCGAGTACATGCACGGACCGTCCCCACTGTGTCCTGTGTTCTGCCCGGGGCCTTGCAACGGGCCATCGGGCTGGCGGCTCAGCGTGACCCTCGCGCGTCAAAGGCCGCAACGGCGGCAAACGACTCCCAGAGCGAAGGACTGGGAAGGCCTCAACCGAGGCCATAGAAGTAGTGCCTGAGAATGGACCGGGTGGTTCAAATTAACCTGAACCACTGCGGTGGGGCGCAAGATCTGCTTCGGCAGATTATTCTGGAGCGGTGAGCTGGCCTGGCGGCAGTTTCCGAGCCCTGCTGGATCCCCAACTCGCCGAGCTGGGCGGCAGACTTCGACGGCGTCGCAGCTATCGCGTGGACGCCACAGTCCAGCCGCGTGGTCTCCGAGGTGGTAGTCCGGGGCAACGGCTTTGTGGCGGTGCGGTGGGGCTCGTCCCGTACCAGCGTCCGTGGCTGGCAAGTGGTGGCGTGGGCGCGGAGGTGTGGCCTTAGCCTGCTCAACGTGGGGCAGGTTCCCACGTGCGTCCGGCCCCAGGGGACGTCCGTGGTGGACTTATCCTGAGCGTTGGCCGTCCTGGCTCCGCTGGTCGGGGGGTGGCAAGTCCTCGCAGAGGAGGAGTCACTCTCCGACCATAGGTACCTGGCGATAAAGATCGCCAGGGTGGAGGGCGTGGTGGAGGGTGGTGGTTCCCACTGCCCGCGCTGGAAGGCAACGGAGTGGGACCACGACATGTTTACGGCGGCGGTCCTCGGGGCGGCGTGGGGCAACCCCCTTGCTCCGAGGTAGACGACGGAAGAGGAAGCCCAGTGGCTTCAGCGGACAGCTACCGACGCTTACGACGCGTCGATGTCACGAGCGGGAAGGCCCCACCCGCGCCGCCGTGCGCATTGGTGGTCTGCGGACATTGCCGCTCTCCGCGAGGAGTGTGTCATCCTCCGAATACGGCACACCAGAGTTCGCCGCCAGCGTCAACATGACCCTGACGCGGTAAAGAAAGCCCGGGTCCTCTTCCGGGATGCCCAGCGAGCGCTCCGTCGCGCCATCACGGCGGCGAAGCGGTAGGCATGGGAAGACCTGACCCAGACCCTCGACAAAGTGGGGTCTTCCGTACCGGGTGGTCCTGTCCCGTTTCCGGCCCCCTGGGCCTGCGGTCACGGAACAGCTCGAGGTGCACCAGGTGCAAGAGTTGGTGCGGTCTCTTTTTCCCGCGAGGGACGAACTCCGCCCACCTTCCCCGGACCGCATCCCGTGGAGGGAAGCACACGCCGTGACGGTGGACGAGGTCCGTGCCGCGGCGAAGCGCATCGCCGGTAGGAAGACGGCCCCGGGCATGGACGGCCTCACATGTGCTGTGTGGGCCCGCCTGGCAGCCTTACTCCCGCAGCGTGTAGCGCGCTGCTTCACGCGGTGTCTGCGGGAGGGGCGGTTCCCGAGGGACTGGAAACAGGCCCGCCTGGTTCTGGTCCCGAAGGTCGCCCGCCCTGGAGCGGTCCCCTCGTCCTATAGACCTCTGTGTCTTCTCGACGAGGGGGGTAAACTCTTCGAGCGGGTGCTGGCGGGCCGCATCGAGGAGCGGCTGGCAGCGGGGAGTAGTCTGTCCAGAGGACAGTACGGGTTCCGACCGGCCCTCTCGACGTGCGACGTGGCGTTGCGCGTTCGGGAGATTGCCGGGGCCCACATTTCGCGTGGGGGGATGTGCGTGGCGGTTAGCCTCGATATAAGGAATGCCTTCAATTCCTTATCCTGGGGTGGCATCAGGACGGCCTTGCGGGGATGGAACCTCTCCACCTGTCTCTTGGCCGTCCTCGATGACTATTTCTCAGGCCGTCGTATACCCATGTCGGGACGAGCAACTCCGATTCCACCGAGTTATGTGCGGGATCCCCCAGGGGTCGGTGCTGGGGACCCTACTTTGGGACGTGGGATACGACGCGGTACTCCGGGTCGAGCTACCGCCACGTACAGACTTGATGTGTTACGCCGACGACACATTAATTCTTTCGAGAAATCGCGATGAGGAGGAGGCGGCTTTAAACGCCTCTCTTGCTGCCGCGACAGTGTCGCAACGGATCGCGCCACTGGGACTCACCCTCGCGGCCCAGAAGACGGAGACGGTTGTCTTCCGCCCCCAGGGGGTCGCGGGGGATCCGGTACGGGTGTTGGTGGATGGGGCCCAGGTGGACACACGACCGTGTATCAAGTACCTGGGCCTCATGGTGGACGGAAAATGGTCCTTTAAGGACCACTTTGACTATGCAGCAGCCAAGGCTCGGAAGGTGGCTGCCGCGCTGGCTCATCTGCTCCCCAACTTGGGAGGTCCCCGGGAGCACGTACGCAAGTTATACCTGGCCGTCGTACACTCTGTGTTGATGTACGGCGCGCCAGTGTGGTACGAGGCGCTGGGCCGGGGCCGTGGTGCCCTACGCTGCCGTGCAACGCCTAATGGCGTCTAGGATAGTCAGGGCAATATAAAACGGCGGCGCTGGAGGCGGTCCGAGTCCTGGTCCGTATTCCCCCGGCGGACCTGCTTGCGCGTCAGCAAGCAGACCAGTTCCTTCGTTTCCGGGAGTACCGGAACGAAGGAGTTGACATCACCCCCGAGCGGGCGCTGCTGGTCAACCAGCAGGTGGAGCGGACCCTCGTACGCAGGTGGCGGGAGCGTCTCCTAGCGCCGAATGGGTCCGGCCTCAGGGTTTGGGAGGCGGTTGGCCCAGTGTTGGATCGGTGGCTGGGACGAGCTCATGGTGAACTCACTTTTCACCTTACCCAAATCCTCGCCGGGCATGGTTCGTTCATCGACTACTTGTTCCGCATCCGGAAGGCCGACACTCCAGCGTGTCCTCACTGTCCCTCCGCGGAGGATAGCGCGCAACACACGCTGGAGGAGTGCCCAGCGTGGGCACAGGAGCGTGCGGCTCTGCGGGCGCACGTTGGCGAGAACTTGTCGCTCCCGGCGGTTGTCAGCGCCATGTTGCGCGACGCAGGGCGTTGGCGGGCAGTAGTGGCGTTCTGTGGAACAGTCATGTCCGCCAAGAAGGATGCGGAACGGGCCCGCCAGGGGCAGCCCGCGCGCAGGAGACGGCGAAGGTCCCCGCAGCCTGCTGGTGACAACGAGTGCGAGTAGCCTCGGCTGCCGCCTCTCTCTCTCGCGATGAGAGGGTGAGTGGTGCCCCTTCCCACTGCCTGAAATGGGTGAAGGGTGACGGGGCCCAGACGGGTGGAGGGCGGGGGCCTTCCTCTGTCATTGCACGTGACCCCACGGAAATGGGGAGAAATGGTGTGGTCCCACTTCTCCCCACGCAGTCAGGTACAGGATGGCAGTAACTTGCCACCCAGGCACTGGGGGGAGTTCCGAGACGTATAGCCGTAAGGCTTCCCAGGACTCCGTCCCGTGGTGCTGGAGGACCACCTTGGGGTTTTAGTGGGTGCGAGTCCCACACTACCCTGGCTCTCCCCCGGGGATCAGGGTGTGCGTATGCATTCCCCCAAGTAAAAAAAAAAAAAAAAAAACTTGGGCCCGAGCTTACTCAAAGGCCGCGGGGCCATGGCCCCGACGGTCTTCTTTTTAAGAGGGGGTTGTCTGGTCGAGGACCCCCCGACACTTGATGCCTCCTGCACCGCCTGATTGAGAGGATCCGTGAGCTTGCGCCATTTGGGGCCCCTCATCCGTCTCGCCAGAGGAACATCGTCCTCCGTGTCTATTGCCTCCGAGCCTGAGGGCTCGGAGATGGCAGACAACTCCTCGTCAATTAGCGGAGGAGGCTGCGGAGATTCCGCCTCTGTGCTAGAGGCTTGAGGAACCTCCACAAGCTTCTTTTTCCGCCCTTTTACGGGGATGGGAATGCATCGGGCACCTCCCATCTTATGACCGCTCGGCTGGCCCAGTCTTGCACAAAGCGGGCACTTGGGCTCAGCCGAGCACATGGCCGCGTGGTGGCCACCCTCCCCGCATCGGTAAGAGACGTCACCGACGTCTACTCCCGTGCATTGCCCGGCCAAATGGCCATAGGGAAGGCAACGGAAACACTGCTTCCTCCTTGCCTTTAAGGGCTCGACAGGGAGGGTAAGCCACTCTACCTGCACCCGCTCCTCTCGTGATATCTTCCGGGCAGCGGAGATGGAAAGACGGACCCAAAGGGTCCCAAGTCCCGAGGACGATGCGTGGACTTTACCGGTCCGCACTTCCCCGGTCCCACAGCCACCTGCCGAGGCAAGGGCCGCGGCCACGTCTGCGACGTCGAGATCCGCCACCATATCTCTTACGCCGATTTCCGCGTATTTAACGGGATAGGTGAAGCGGATCCCTTCGTCTGCAGCAAAGACGGGGGCGGCACTCGTTCAACGAGTGCCGCCGCCTTCTTGGCACCATCAGGGCCGGAGACCTCAAATAAGAGGCCTCCGTTGGCCGCCTTCTTCGGGCGGAGCCCGGTTATCCCGAGCTCCGCCGGGTTGACCGCGGCGACCGCACGCTGCATCGCAGCCGCGTAGCTGCGGCCTTCTCCAGGATCGACGGTCAACAAAACCGCCGCCCTTGCCGGAAACCGCCCTAACATGGCGACCTTCTTCTTCGTCTGCTGCTATACGACCCTCAAAGGAGCCGACGCACCAGCAGGCTGAGAGCCCCCAGGGGAAACCCCAGTAATCCTCCCTTCGCACGGCGGGCCTTACCACCTGGGACCACGTGGCCCCATCCCGCCCAGAAGCTCCGGAAGTGGAGCGTGCTTTAGACTCCGGAAGCAAGTGGCCCGGGGCTGCGAGGACCCGGGGACCGTGGCTTCCTCTGAGGGTGGAGGAGCCAGCGCAGGAGGAGCAATACTACCTTGTATTGCTAAGAGCTCCCCCCTTAAAGCGCTGAAAAGCTCCTTCACCTTTTTCTCGATGCGCTCGGCTAATTGCTCGAGCGCATCGACCTGCCTGTTCGGAGGGGGAGGCAGGGCCTCCGCCTCCGGGGGGCTAACTGCCCTCTTTCTTGTCTTAGGAGCGGCTTTTCTCCTCTCAAGTGCGCCAAGACGGGTCACCAGGCGAGCTATTTGGCGTTTCATGGCCGCCTTCTCGCGGCAAAGTGCTTTGCACTTTTCGCGAAACGCCTGGACCAGGCTGTCCTCGGACATTGGACCCGTCGCGTCGTGTACCCGGGCAAAGAATGCCCGGGCCACGTCAAGCATCGTCCCAGCTGATAACTTTAGGGACTTCACGTAAGTCCTCTTCAACCGAGACGATGTCGTCGCTACGTGGAGCACAGCGTCGACCGCCTCAATGGCTCGATCAAGTAAGTCAGCCGCGCCTACATCCGCTGGGATAGAGCTCCGCGCTCGGAGACCCTCCGTGTTCTCCAAGAACTCGACCTCGGCACGGGTCTCCGACTCCGCTTGCTTGGCCGCAGCGTATCTCTCCTTGGCTTTGGCCGAGCCAACGTACTGACAGGTGGTGGTTGCCTTCCTTCGCTTCCCGGCCCGAGGGGGCTCGGAAGCCGACGGGGGAAGGCAGTAATCACCATCCGCCCCCGCCGACGGCACTGGCTCGATGTCATCCACCATTTCGTCGTCGCCCAGGGATATCGCGCCAATATCGGGTCCGAATCCCCTATCACCATTGGCGCAGCGTTAGGCCGCACCCGGGAGCGCGACCGTGAGTGCTCGCCCGACGCTTCACGCGATCTTCCTTCCTGCGCAGCGCGGGACCGCAGTCTCTCACGTTGCGCAAATGTCTTTACGACCCTGAACCTGGAGCACAAGGCTACGGACACAGGGTCAGACATCTTCGCTGTCAGAAGTTCCTCTGACGCCCCAGCGGGGCAGACGTCAGATAGCCTATCGTCAGATGACAACAGGGGAGCACCTGGGACGATAGTGCCCCCCGCCGAGCCCTGAGGATCCAAGACCTCTGGGCCGGTACCTTATTCTCTTCCTGGGACGATATACCCATGATTGTTGGAGGTTTGGTTTGATTTCGGTGTGTCCTTCACCTAGACCGACTGCCCACACAGGGCTAACGAGCCCGGTCTGCCCAGGTGCGCTCTTGGTCTGGCCGTTCACTAAGGACCTGTCCGGCAAGGGAGACCCTACCAGGAACCGAAGTTCCCGCCGGCATAGCTCCTTAGATCACCACGGCGCACAAGCCCCTCCACCACGACAAGGTGGCGCACCCTCGGAGGGGAAATATATCTTTAACCTTTCTGCGTACAAAATTANTTTCTTATTGCTTACCCTACTACATAAATTATAAATATAAACTTATGGTACAAAATGTTTAATATAAAGAAAACCGATGCTATAGGTAGATAATTCTGTCATTCTAACATGTAGTTCAAAAAGCTTTAGATAAAAAATTCATTTGTATTAAAATTCAAATATATAGAGTAAGTCAGAAGAAGATAGACCGTGTGGATGAAACGGACTACACGCACATTTCCCAAACTATTTGTTAGATGTGTATTTATTGAAGTTATTGTTAAATGTGTACTTACAAGCAGGAAAGGATTTATGTAAATCGCATTTGCATAACAGATGAATATTTTGTATCTTTAATTTCAAAAGTAAGTGTGAAAAATTCTAGCTCACCAATTTTTGTTTGTAAAACGTTCAATTAAATACATATTTACTTAAGTTTTTTGACATATTCTATTAATTTGAAACATTTTTAAAGACTTCCTATGTAAGAATTGTCAAATACTTTCTTGTGTAAAAAACTGCACTGTAGTGTCCATTTATTCCATTTCTAGATGGGCACTAAAAAAAGGAGATAATCGAAGGGACTACTAGTTTTATTGGCGTTTTCAGTGCCAACACAATAACCGCAAATATGCATAGGAAAAAGGCAAGCGGACCAAAGAACAACAAAAGATATTATGTAAAAAGAGAAATGATTAAAAGAAAATTGTAAAGTATAACTAAAAAAAAGTGCGTTTTTGTTAAACAGTGTAAAGTACACCTACAATTAAGTATAATAATATGTTTGTTAAAACAATTGTTAAACAATTGTAACTTGTATTTAAGTAGACATTTATCTATTTTTTATATACAATGGTCCAACTCACCTACGGTGGTGGAGATAGATAGATATTAATGTTATAAGTTTTTCATATTTAAATTTTTTTTAAAAGTATGATGTTTTTTCTTTAAAAGTCGTTCGCAGGATGTTGTGCGGAAAATATGTCTTATATGTGTGTACACATATATAAATTGTACATAAGACAAGCTCCAAATATTTTAAATTATAATAATGTGAGTATGGCAGTTGGAGCAATGACACGGACGTAGATGTGTAAATACATGAAGTTGACAATGTCTGTGTATATGTGTGATGTTTATTGATATGACATAAATAAACGTTTCGACCCTAGTTTTGGGTCTTTATCAATATTCTAAAAATATATGCAAAACATTGATCAAATAAGATACAAAAAATTATAAATAATTATAAATTATGAATTATAATATACAAACTTACAAAA